AAAAAAAAAGGTCATTGGAGTATTACAATATTATAGGTAAAAAGAAAATTTGACAGAGCCAGTAACTATTAAAAAAATGGGCAGCAATGAAAAATTGCTCAGGCAAAAATCACATGATTTGAAGCATCACTCTAATTGGATAACAATAACAGTTAGGATAGGGGCTTATTAGAAGGTCCATAAAATAAATTTTAGCCTTGTAGGTATAATGATATATGGGAGCTGGGTTTGTGAAAAGTGCGTTTGTTATTTACAACTAAAAACAGGGATATTTTTGTAAAAAGGATGCATAACTGCTGAAAGACTGCACAAAAAAATGTATAGACAGTAATTATGGTGTCACCTCCTCTAACAGTGTTACCCGACATGGTCTGTCACTCCTGGTGCCACCTTGTCTGCTAACTGAAAGGTTGCTGGTTTGAACACCTTCCCAGCAATTAAGACCACCAGCCCTTCTGAGGAAGAAAAAAACCTGACAAACTGCCGCTGTCAGAATCACAGCCTAGAAAATTCCCTGGAATAACTGTGGTGTCCTATGTGGTCATTGTGAGTCAGAACAGATTCAGGAACCGGGGCCCTCGATTAAGGGAGCGTCTATTCTATTCTACGTAAACAGTAACCACAATCATAATGACCCCAGTATTTTAAAGGTTTTTATATATTTTAATGTTTATGTGCATCAGTCATTTTACAGGTCTGTTTAATCCTCATAACAAACCTGAGAGAACACTATTCGATTTCCCTTTCACAGATGAAGAAATTGAGGCTCGAAACAAAATAATTAGTCCAAGGTCAAAGAGTCCATGAGCGGCAGAGGCAGGATGTGAATTAAGGTCAGGCTGTGTATTTAAAAGCCACAGGTTGACGATGGGTATGATATCAGACCCTCCGTGATGAGTATCACACTTTGGACTTTCACCGAGTTTCAGCACGGAGGAATTTTAAATGTCTTTTAAAGTTGTGTAAGGAGCCCGCTCTTTGGGAGAAAGATGAAGCTTTCTGATCCTGTACATTTTTATAGCCTCAGAAACCCACAGGGCCACTCTACTGCATTCTTCAGAGGTGCTGGGGGTTGGAATTGTCTCAGCAGCAGTGGATTTAGAAGGAGCCCTAGAGTTCACATCTCCTCTGCCTGAAGGGTCCCTCCCTAGGAGTCAGAATGGATTCAATTGCAGTAGGTTGTTCTTTGTTTGTTTATTTAAGGAACCCCGTTGATGCTTTGGGTTTGGCAGTGGGCTGATAATCGCAAGGTGAGTGGTTCAAACTCACCAGCTGCTCCATGGGACAAAGCTAATGGCTAGGTGTTCTCATAAATATTTATAGTTGTAAATCCAAAATAGGACATGTGCTAGAATTGACTCAAAAGTAATGGGTTTGGTTTTACTTAGGGCATGTAAAGATGGGAGAGTGGAGGAAGTATAAGAGTGGGAGCAGAGCGTTCTCCAACCAGGGGACCTTATTAGATACAATGTGAAAGAAGCCCGACACTATAGGCTGAAGGGAATGGCCTTCAGTGGGGTCTCAAAGAAAGCATCCTTGGACATCATGTAGAACGGGCCCCATGCTACTTTGGAGACTGTAATAGTCTAGGTGCTTTAGAGAAACAAATCCACAGCAACTCATGTATAAGAGAGAGTTTTATGTAAAGAAAATGTGCATCATGAAAGCATCCCAACCCAATGATGCCCAAGCCCACAAGTCCAACATTAACCCAACACCAGTCCACAAAGTCCTCCACCTCACAAAACAGAGGCAATGATGCCGACTGCAGGAGGAAAGCTGAGTCAGTAAACGAATAAGCATCTCAGCACTAGCAGGGGTCTCCACACGGCTGCTCTAGCACCCAGGGCTGCATCGGGATAGGTCCATGCGGCTTCTCCTTGGGGATGTCTTGTAGGAAGTCAATCTTGCAAGCTGAAGCAGGGAAGTGCTAAGGCAGCTGCACCCTGGTGCAACCATCACAAAGCAAGAGACCTGAGAACTAGAAAGTCGAGGCTTCACCACCCCTTTATCCCTCCGCCTTTCAATTAGCCCCACATGTGATTATTGGCCAGGTTGGCACAATTAACTAACTCAGAGACCATCTAGTCGCCTTTGCCTGTAATAGATGGTGGTACTGAGGGCCAAAAAGGGAAAATGGTATGTACAAGAACACACAGCAAATTAGTGCTTGGCAGGGACAGGCCTTCTGGATTCTAGACTGGAAGGGTACGGACACCATAGAGTGTATTCCTTGAGTCTTTCTTTACTTACTGACAGTGGTCAGGGGGGATGAGAGGAGGAAAGATTCAGGTTCTTTTTTTGTTGCCTCTCCAGGGTTTGGGTGCTGTGCACTGCATTTGCATTTATGCAAACCTAAAAAGAGACTTCATCAGAGAAGTGAGTCATTTGTCAGTACATGATCTTTCAGAAGTGACTGGGAAATTATATTAGATCAAAAATAGTTTTATGGCAAATATTTCAGATGATTTGATACCATGTAAGTCTAAGATATCTCAATGAAAGAGGATTTATCTGCCTAGGAAGATTTTAAGCTTGACCTTTCAAGGAAAGAACAAGAATTAACAGAAGTAACAAATCATAATTTAAATATGCATCAGAGAGTTGATGTACCTGAGAATAAATGAACATGGAGTTGTAACCAAACCAATGTCTCTATATCATTAACCGATGAAAATAATATAATTCCCAGTTCATTTTTTTTTAAAGCAACAATACAACAGGAAAGTGAGATTCACTGTAGATGAGTGCTTTTTACCATCTCTCGTCTCCCACTTCATCTCATGGACTTTAAATAAGGTGTCAGGAAAAGGTCATCGTGTCTGGTCAAGCAGGGGTCAACAGAAAAGGGAAAAACCATTGGTGAGATGAATTGACAGAGTGGTGCCACAACGGGCTCAAGCACAACGGCAATTGTGAGGCTGGTGCAGGGCCAGGCACTGGTTCATTCTGTGGTTCATAGAGTTGCTGTGAGCTGGATAGCAGCAACAATACCTTCTCCCATCCCGTTGTAGAGATCGTCCAATGAGTACAATAAGAGTCCATAAGCAATTCCTAGGTTTTGGTTCACTTCAACATTGTTGAAATGTCTCAAGAACATTATTAGTCATTTTGCTTGTGATTGACAAGCAATAGATGATACGTGCATCGAGATACTTTTCTAGTGTTAGGGTAAGGAGAGGAATTCACCTGCCTTGAAGTGTTAGCAGT